GTTCACCTTCCTACCACACGAAATATCAAAATGATGGTTTTTTTTGTGCCTATTACCGGATGGGGTATAGGGACGGTCGGGTTAATTGTCAAATCTTGATTCTAGGTTCACGAGTAAAGGGATATCCCTATGAACCCCTATGGATCTCAAAAATTAGGTTAAAAAAGGATTGATGATCTTATGCCTGAAATTGAAATGTTATTTACTTAATTGTCTTCAAAGGTTGATGTGGGAAAAATCATAATGGTAAGTATCACATAAAAAGTTTTAAAGACAAATGTATTTATTTAAAATAAGAGTTTCATTAGTTATTTTCTGATTTTTACCAACCTTCAGTTTTTTCGTATCAGTAATTGGTTTTAGAATACCCGAGCCCGTAATTAATTTAATATTTTAAATATATAAAAAATTATTTTAAAATTAATTTATTTTAATTTTTAGTTGAATTTATGAAAAAAATAGGTTATGGATAAAATTGAAAATAATTTTGAAAAAAAGTGATGAAAATTTGAGTTCGGTAGGTATTTTTGGAAGAAAAATAAAAAATTAGGAGTCAAAGTGAAATAAAAAAATTTTGCCATGTAGGACCACCCAGTTAGCAACTTCGACGAAACAGAGCATGCTGCGTGGCAAGGCACGCTGATGTCGATGCCACGCAAGCAATCTGCTTGCCCCGCGATCGAACGACCGAGAATTGATCCTGCGCACGTGGACAACCCGGATTTGTTCCCCCTTTAAACATGATTGGATGGTCAAGATCAAATCGTTATGAACGGTCAAAATTTATTTTCTCTTTAAATTCGTTCAGACGATCGAGATCAAACACGATGAACGGTCCAGATTAACGCGAGATAGGTATAAATATTTCGAATCACACTGAACTCAAACCCTATATGCCAGCCTCCCGTCGAAGAAGAAGAACAAGTCGCTGGAGAAGGGAGCCGACCACCGACCGCCGCCACACCGGAACTACCACCGACCGCCAAAAAATGTAAAAATTTTCATATCCGCTCGAAATTTGATTCTGATCAACCCCATTGATGCGGAACCCCAAAACCCTTGCTTGAACCTTAGAACTCTTCAATCGGTTTAGAATGGAATTTAGATCACAAGTAAAAAAGGAATCAAATTTGTTCAATCACCCAAATGGTAGAAGTTAAAGAGAACCCAAAAAAGATAAATGATATCACTTGAACCCAATCCAAACAAGCACCAAGAACAATTGAAATAAGAAATCAAAATTGAAATATAAGTGATATTAATTATATTCCAAATCATCACCTTGTGCATAAAGTGAAAA